CATGAATAGCAGGTTTATTCCGCGTGTACAAGCGGTTGCATCTTGCAATATTAGTTCAGCTTGGAAAATACGCTCACACTCTTCTGACAATAAAGAACTTTTCAAGGTTGTTGTGTTTGGAAGAATTTCATATGGCATTCGACTCTTACGCTTGATTGTATCATTTATCGTATGAATGAATGGTATCTTTCTCGGTACTGTGTGACAGCCCCTGGAGAGCTAAACCAAAGATTATTGCATTAAGTCTAGAGAATGACGCACTCTTTTACCTTTTTTATAACTCATGACGTCATCAAAGCATGATTATTTTTCTCAATTAAACAAAACGTCCTTTCGTTTGATATGTGCAATCGGGCGTGACATTTATTCCTCAGGGCCCATTTATTCCTGTTAAGATTTTCTGAAAATCTTTCTCGGCTTTTTAGTCTAATCGAAGTGGTTTCCAATCCAGACCAGCTTTGTTTGCGTTTTGTGCCTTGGAGAAGTTCAAAAAATATATTTCTTCACCGGATTCAGCTTCAAGATTTCAGTGGATCATCGATTTTGTCTGTAGAAGTGGGTGATCAGGGGTACAACCAATATATGATATGAGAGCAGTGTGCAGATAATCAGCTGTAGGGGGGGCAAGTGCACACAAAAAGTGCACACGTATACTTGTTATTTGTTTATCTGTTTTGATATGAACTTTTATATTTATGTTTTTAAATATTTTTTACATCGCCACATGTAGATGTAGATTAAAGAGTATATGTGTGAACTTCTAAGTAGCTGTCTTTGCATTCGTGCATTTAACTTTGTCAAAAATATACATACTTATTTAACATATGTACGTTTTTACAAAATAGAGTCAAAGTGAATCTAAACAACTACAGGCCAATCAAATATTAGATCTTCACTATGGTGCTGACCAAGAGATGGTATGTATGGTACTGATATGTGCTGGATTCCTTAAGGATTGCCGAAAAGTTACCGACGTCTCATTGCCATGATTTACAAGAATGCAACTGTACACATGAAACTTCGCAGTCGCATGCAGTTTCATAATCAAAAAGGATTCGACAAGAGTGATTCCTTATCACCAAAGTTATTCGCAACGGCCTTAGAAGAGAAGAGACTCTATTCGAAAAATCAGGGATAGTATTTAAGCTATCTGCGATTTGCCGACGATATTCTAAACTCAAGAAAGCCCTGGAAAAATTCCAACAGTAGAACGATGCCAGCATCTAAGCAGGACGGAAAATGAACTTGAAAACAAATACATGACCTCATAACCTGTTGAGGTCAAGGGAGTTGAAGAATGTGAAATGACGTCTCTCTGGGAGAGGTCATTTCTGCAGTGGATAACCTATTTTGTGAAATCAGCAGAAAAGTACAAATAGTTTAAAGCACTTTTTGAATATGTTCCTATCCGGGAGACTGTCCTTATGTTTCAGGTGGAAATTTTTCAATGAGCGTTTTGCTTCCAGTGTTAACCTTTGGGTGCGAAACTTGGCTCTAAGTCTGACAGCTATTCACAAACTGTAAATTGCGCAGTGCAACACGTGAAGATGTCTGTTTTGAATAGCCAGAAAAGATAGGAAGACATGTGAGTGGGTAAGATCACAAATAAGAGTTTGTGATGTTCGAGTGAGTAAGTTCAAATGCCAGTGAGCTTGACACGTTGCAAGAAAATTCGACCATCGCCAGTTCACTGAGACGTTAAACTTCTTTTCAACGTAGAGTAAACGGCCAGTAGGAAATCTTAAAATTTATTGCATGATGAATTGAATAAAATGGAAAATAACAGAAGTTTATGGGTAAGTCTTATAGTCTTTTATCTAGCAATGGATCTAGAAAGGCTGATGATGATGTATCTGTTTATTGTTCTTATCTATATGTTATACTTTTGTACTCCCTATTTTTACACTAATTGATATTGCAGGGTAAACCTCATTCCTAAGTCTAGCAAAGATATCATAATACCAAATTGTGTATGTAAATGCACAGTCTGGAAACCTTATGGTTTAGAGCGGTTTATCGCATTGCTTCATTGCTGCTATATTCTTATGGGACTATTTTATGAGTTTTGCACGACTTTATGATATTTTGTACTTGATGCTCATACACAATGAGTTTCCTACGATTTTGATATTTGAAGTACCAGTTCTCTTTCAGTAGCCAGTCTCCAAGTATGCTTTCATGGCAGCAATGAAAACATTCGTTGCGGCTGCTGAAATATCTCTCTGTGACCTGCTCAGATGGATTCTTGGCCATCTAAGAGTACGGGGAAGAGGGTAGTGCCCGTACGTCCTGAAACCGAGTTTGGCGGAGTTATGCACAGTTTAGATGTTGCTCTGAAAGCCTGCAGGATAACAACTGCAAAACATCATTGCTGATAAGAGACGTATTACGCTACTGCTAACATTTTAATAGACTTTCTTTCACAGCAAGTTTAGAATGTTATGACCAGGTGCCATTTTTTAAATGTCCCAAAATATATAGGAACAGCGAAACGATGCCTCGCGCCTTGAAGCATAGGGCAGTTTTGCACTCATCAAAAAACTGAACTGCGCTACATCAGTGGATCATATGCGATCGAATTTCAGATAGCTATGACTTTCGTAAATGGTTCGCTAGGATTATAACCTGAACAAACCATGCTGTGATTCGGTTACACCCAGTTCAACCCTTTCTTTAGAACCTGTCCATGCGCTGTCGGAAGTGTCCTATTGAAATTTTTTATTCTTAATCTGGTATATATTCTGTCGTGGATTAATAAAGTTTCGTGTTATTTAACAATTAGTGTTTATTATTCACTTTGTATGGCTGATTTAAAAGTGAGTAGAAAACTTTCAGTGAAAAATAATGTTTCTTTACCACGGGCATTTTTTTACTTCATTGTTTTCTCAAAATGCCAAAATAGTATATATTTATGTATGTATGTTTATACTTTTAGGTGCTGCACAAAGTCTGTATCAGAAATCATACTACCAGTTGCTCAGCTCATCGTTGTCAGAAAGAGGCATCGTTTTGTCACAAGGTAAACATTTTTTCACCGCTCGTTTCACAAATTCTTATTTATCAGATCGGATAATGCTTAAATTAGAAATAATGCTAGATACACTAATCAATAAATGTTTGAGGACACTATAAGCAACGGTCTGTGGGCGTGCCTGCGAACATATGGTATCGATGGACAGTTGCTACTGGCATCCAATCACTATACGCTAATAGCAGGTGCTGTGCCAGAATAAGTGGCGTTAAGTTGAAAACTTTCAGCGTTGGCACTGATCTCCGCCAAGGCTGCATTCTCCCCCTCTCCTTTTTGCGCTGTACATGGACAGAAAAATCAGGCTCATCTAGAGCGGCGAATGTATCAGTGCAGGAGATGTAGAGACGTGAAGATTGCTGTTCGAAAACGTCCTTGTTTTATTTTAATCGTCTGAAACTGATCTCCAGCACTCTCTGAGAACATCTGCAGTTGGGTGCGACGTGGCCGGCATGCATGTGAACTTAAACGAATGGCCTAGAGAAAGCAGTCTGTAATGAGTCTAATCTCAGAACCTGAAGGTTGTACGGTACTCGGCTAACGACAGCCATATACTCTGACGTTTACGAGTTGATTATCGTAAAACTGATCCACGCACTCTTGTTTTATCATGTAAATATTACGTTCTGTAAATCCTGTCTCAGTCGTAACTTAACGTACTTAGCTGAAAGTATCTGGTTACACCTGGACTTCATTGCGGAAATGTGCAGCTACTGCAGGACCGTGTTCCCTGTCGTTTCCTATTGTTTCGTCTCAGTTCCTACATATCCTTCGGGCACGATTGGGTTTCTAGTCTGTTGCAAAGACAAGGTAAACTTTGTTGTGTGTTGGTGATGACGGTTGTTGTATGATAAAGCTTTAGACTTGTGTACCACAAAAGCCCAAACGAATTCTAACCGACGCTGCAGCTGAAAGGATGAACTTGAGGTTTTATACATCAGCTATTCATGAAGCCGCCTTTGCATTGCCCAGATTTGCTGACAAGGTAACTTTTACAATGGCTTCGGGTATCATTGTTTGTATAAATTATGAACGTTACTCTCTAATGTTTCAACACAGCCGTATAACTTAGAACATGATCACGTAATATTTTAATGCTAATGTGTTGGTATGCTGGTGGATTTTGCTATGTATTTCTAATTTTTCATCTGTAATTTTCTGCAGAGTTGAGATTTGTCTTTCCGTATTTTTTGCATGCAGTGGAATGTATGAAAATCTGAGAACAGAAAAAGTTAATGCGAAATTATACATCAGTCTATGGTAAGAACGATTTGAAGGCTAGATAAAAATTTTGTTCAAAGTTACGGAGATTTTGAACCCAAAAATGATGTTTCTTTTTCAGCATACAATGATAATACTGTACTATAGTAGACCATCATTCACTTGAAGACTAGGTAGTTCAAGGTGTAAAAAAATTTTACGAAATAATCTATGTAAATAAAACAAAAGCTGTTCAACAACAATAAACGTAATGGAGAGAGACGAAATGAAACAAAAGTGAGGGAAAGAAGCCAGTGGTAAAAAATTAGATATGAAGATTAAAGTCAGATTATTTAGAATAATATTCTAACTGGTGAAAAGTAATTATTTAATTGTTGATTGAGGCTGCCCGATCATGTTCTTATGCACGTAATCGTATTGATGGACCGCTTAGTTAATGACGTGTCTCAGCAGTTCATTGTGTGAAGAGCCATCTATTCTAAAGACTTTTCTCTGTAACAGCCTTGGTGCCTTGTCTATATATATGGAATATATATGGAACGTCAAGTGGTTAGAAATAGGGAACAAAGATGTGTGAGGCACGGACCGAACGTCGTACAATTCTGGAGTCGTCAACGTGCACAGCAGTTAGCACCTGGCTATTATTCATCGGTCAGTCATCTTGACGGCGTAGGCATGGGCCCCATGATCATGCCCATTAACATGCGTGAACATGAAGAGTGCAGGGTCTGAGGGTACCAGTGTTTCACATGGAACGAGCTTACCTTGTTGTAATAATTCGATGCTCTAGGTCACCATTGGCTTGGACTTTAATGATGGTGGATT